AGATGCTTCTTGGTCCTACGTAAGTGGTTGGTCTTTCCTTTGCTGTTCCCAGCAGGGCTTTTAGGAGAAGTCAGTTCATCACCACACACGTGTGATATTCTTAAGTCAGAATTCTTAGATCCAAAGAATAAAACGTAACCATAATTAACATTATTTAGCACACCTCTGAAGTCATCCAAATATATAAGTTATTAGTCTGGATTCAGCGAATGGTATGGGTCTGAATTGTTCTGAAATATTTGAACGTGCTGAAAGCACCACGTAGCCAGAGAGCCTTTGTATATTGTAAGTTGGAGTTAGGCATATGTGCTACAGTATTTATACTCTGGCTTTCTTCTCTAATACTGGATGAAGTATGTAAAAGGACACTGTGTATGTACTTAGATGTGTATCTTCTTGTGAATTATTTGTTTCTTATTTTGACAACAGTCAGGTGTAATGACAGTGTACTGGAGGTAAGTGATGATACTGTGCAGCTGAAGGATGGTTTGCCTGCAAGAACCCTGGAGTTTATTTTCTTTGGGTGGGCCTTTCTGATAGCAGAAGGACAAAAGAAAACATTTTAAATATAGGAGAAATCCTGGAAAATTCTGCTCTTAAATGCTTTTGAAATGGTCATAGTATTGCCTAGGCATGTTGTCTTTGGACTTCTGAGACTCATTTCCATCTCTGCTAAAATGGGACTGCAGGCTACCTTGCAAGAGAGCTGTCAGGATCAGCCAGTGAATATTTATGAAGAAATTTCGTGGTGAAAAAAAAGATACATATATGCTACATATATTATTAATAATTATGTGAGTCCTGAAAAATACCATACTGTATCACAAAGCTGGTATTGTCTACTGACTACACCCTTGGCACTGTGTGCTACAGTAAACTGTATACTGAAAACTCATACTAATGGAAAGGTATACAGGATTCCATTGGTAAGTGATTTATAGTGACTTCCTATTATAAACAAGAGGGAACAAATATCCCGCCTTGCTGGTTTCTTTGGGCAGATGGTGAGAGCAGAATGAGACATTCCTGGCCAGGCAAAAGCTGATTCTCTGGATGCTTGCAACTGGGAGCAGAATGAAGCACCAGAAAGTGAGGTATAAATGACAATCCCTAATTATAAATGATTCACTTTCCATTTTCATAGTGTTTAAAACTTTCCAGTTGTAGAGCACATGACCACTGTGATTTCCAACCTTGTAACAAAAAATGTTTCTGATGTTTAATATTAAATAGACTTACTATAGGATCTCAATTTGTGCTGAAAGCCTACCAACATCCTTTCACAAGAAGCACATTGCTTTCTGAGACAGAATAAACCGCCTTCAGCAGCAGCTTCTTTTTGTGTTTCAGTTAATAAATAAGCTATTGAGCACAACTGTAGTTTGTTTAGGAAAGTTATTTGTCCTGGTCAGTGGTATGCTGTTGATAAACTTCAGTATATTCCCTATCAAATGTCTTGGGAACTGCATGGAATATAATAACGCATCAGCATTGTCTTTCTCTGGAGTCACTTGACACATTGATCTAAGCTTGAGAAGTCTGTAGGGGTTGAAATTTGTGTGACAGCCTGCCTTAATCCAACTAGTGAGAGGACCACACTTTTTCAGGAGAGATCAGACGTGGGTGCTGCCTGAGGTGTGTTAGATTAAAGGCAACCACAGCACTTGGAGAGGGCAGCTATGGTGCATCCTTGGTACCTTGTATAAAGTGCTGCCTCTCAGGTAGTGAGAGAGGGCTCATGAGTGAAGCTCGAGGCCTTCCCATCAGCACTTGCTCTAGGGTGAGTCTTTAGATGAGACTACTTGGTGAGAATCGGTATGCTGCATCATTTTTCCATTCTTTCCGTCACCATTTCCAGAGATACTACCCAGTCCCAGTACCATTTCCTCATTGCCTCAGAGAAGAAATCTAGGAACATGTTGTGCAAAAGCCAAGAAACCAAACACTTTACATATTGAGAATGCTGTTCTTCAATTATATTCATGAAACACTCTCACCAAAATGTTGCTTTTACCATTGAAACATACTTTGCAGTTGTTGTGTGGATATGTCAAATATAAAAAGCTTTAATTATCAAAAGCTCTATTTATTAGTTGGGTGTAGAGCAGGTAGATCACAAAAGATGAAGAAAAAGCAAAATGTTGGGCAAGGTTCACTTTTTTTTTCTTTTAATTTGATAAAATCTTGTTATCTGTGTTTCCTCTCTTGTCAGTAAAAAGGCAGACATGGCCAGACTGTGTTTCTTCTGAACTGAGCTAAGCAGTTAAGGCTGTAGTTACGCCAACAGTTTAATCTCCAAAGGAGAGATATGGTCCACCCTTCTTCCAGATCACAGCATACGGATGATAATGCTGACCAAAGGGAAGCAGTGGGAGGAGGTGGCCATGGAAGAGGGCTCCGCAGTCAAGTTTTGCAGCAACACTCAGGGATGTTGGGCTGTGGTGTTAAATAGGTGGGCTGAAACCTCTTCTTGGAGGACATCTCTGCTGTTTGTGAATGAAGTCTGGACAACTAGCCTGGATAAAGATACATGACTTAGATGGCAGGTTTGTGGCAAGTGAGGTGAACTCTACTCTTCCTTTTGAGTTGAATCGAGTTGGTTTAACCAGCAAGATGTCAAGGAGAGCATGGGGAATGGTCTTTGTCTTTCTCGATGTGTTCATCCCCATCCAAAAAGTGATGGCAATCCTTATTTCATTCACTAAGGGCTGTTCAGACAGCTGCTTGGATGCTATGGTAATGCAAACTGGGATATGCTGTCAGAGGTTTGGTATAGCAGAAAAGGATTTTTGGCAAGAAAAAGGAGGCCTGTGCTTTGAAATGATGGATTTTCAGACTTCATTGTACTAACATGCTTTTACAGCAATTATTAGCAGGAGCTTTGCAAATTATCAGTGATGGTTTTATTGTAACCCAGTTTCAAGTTTCTTTGACATAAATTATTTGCTTGAAAAAAACATAAAACCTGAAAGGAATAAAAAAAGACTTGTAATTCAGGAAAAATCTTCAGCAAAGGTAAAGAATGGATAGCTCTCTGCTCCTAGATTTTATTTTTTAGCTTTACTATTGCTTTTATATACCATGGGCAAACTGCTTTCTTTTAGAGCTGGCTAAACACCAGTAAAAAATATTTGCAAATGCTCCTTCAAATAAACGCTGGAATTGGAATGTGTGTCACCATTCACACCTACTTTCCTCAGAAGTTTGTACAAGCAATTTTTTTGTTCATAGGAAATATTTTCCAAGAGCAAAAGAAACTGACAGATGCTTGAGAGAGGTGTATTTATATCCAGGTTTGCTCTGGCAATGATGTTCTCTATTACTTGCCATTTCCATTTCTATACCTTCTGACCTATTCAGTCCTAAACCGCCTCTTTAAAATTGTATCTATTTAAAAAAAAAAAAAAAAAAAAAAAAAAAAAAAGAAGCAGGGCTGAAAAATTATTTGTAGCCAAGTACAGCATGAAGAAGGAGACTTTGGGTGTCATTCGGTACCTCCCTCTGGATCAAATGTTTCTTTTTTCCTTGGTTCTCTCTTCTCTGTATAGATTGAACTTCCCCCTCTTGAATCCCATTCAGTCATTGATCTAGGAGAGCTTAAGAGATACTGATTTAAGATGTGCTCGTTTGGAACAAAATGTGAACCTTGATCACTTGTGGACATTTATTTATAAAGCTGTTTTGCAAAAGGATGGAGGCCTGCTAAATCAAATAGCCTGGCAAACATCTGACCTCTGAAATTACAGCTGTTCTCCCTGCATTTCTTTGGTGAGACAGCTCTTTAGTCGTTGCCTCCAAGTGCTGGGGAGTGCAGCTGGGCTGAGTTGTATGTATGAGAAAACAGGCTGCTGGTCGGTGGTGGGAAAAGTCACTCCTAAATGGAGAGCTACCAAGGATTGCAATGTGCTTTGAGACTTATTCCACTGGAAGCTCTGTTTAAAGAGAAGATCAACTTTTAATTAACAATCTGATGGAAATCTAGCAATAAGGTTGATTTTTTATTTGGGAATCTAGCCTCATAAAGAGGTGCATTACTTTATGAGATTTATGCTGCGTTTAGGGGCTTTTTGGGTCTTGTAGCCATTAGTGCTCATGCTGTTGTTGTTTCTTTTGTTTGATTCATTCTCCATAGGTGTTGCAGTTAGGTATCAGCTTCTCGTTCCTCTATCATGTGTTTCTGTGTCAGGATAGCAAACCCACTGAATAAAGCTTATACATTTTTGCTTGGTGATTATTTCTGGCTTCTCTGCAGTGTGAGGACTTAATGAATGAACAAATGTGACTCTTGATGGGAAAGTGTAGCTTATGGCTGTGATGCAATTTCATCTTTGAAGGATGTTAACCAAGTGTGTTTGTTACTTGTGTCCTTCTCAGCCTGCCCCTGTGACTAAGTTGCAGCCTGGGCAAGGAGCACATTAAAAACCACACACATCATGTGTGCATGGGTGAAAGTCCTATTTTTAGTGCATACAAGAAGGCATTCACTGAAGGGCAATGAAGCTGATTTTTATTTTTAGGTTTTGCAATTCCTTGTGTTCTTGGGATTTATGGTTTGAAAAACTATCTGTATCACTCTGCAAAATGTAGGTGAACCTCCAAGACTAGCTTTATTCTCACTATTGCCAAGATAACTTTTTTCAGACATAGACTGGTGTGGGATGCGCTGGGCAGGGTTCAGCACCAGTTCTGCCAGTGCGATTCTGGTGAGGCACAGTGAAGGTCTGCCTCACCAAAGCCTATTTCTCTAAGGTCATGTCTGGGGAACCTCCCTACTGCATTATTTTTTAACATGTGCCCTGCTTCAAGCTCAGTGTAGATTTCTCCAGGCAGATGTTTGCATGAAGCTGGCCCTTTATATGTGTCGAAACAAAGGTTTTATTTGGAAATCTAGTATCAATTTTGGAATTAATCTTGGGTTATTTTTCCATATGCCTATTCCATGAACTTCCTTGTTTTAAAAACTATGAAAAGGAAATTGACATGTTTTTCTTTGTTTTCAGAAACTCTGGAGAATGGACCAAATAAGTGTGAAAGGTGAGTAAGGGACTTCGCAGTTTTCCAAAATAATAGTAATAATAATAATATTAATAATATGTAACAGTTTTCCTGACATCACATAGCTAAATAAGCTGTACATGTAAATATTTGTTATTGCTTGAATCTAGCGCAGCTAACAGAAAAGGAACCAGCAAAGATGAAACATACTGGAAGGAGATCAACGCAGCTATGGCCCTAACGAACCTTGCCCAGGGGAAGGATAAACTGCAGGGAACTACCAGCTGCATCATTCAGAAATCATCACATATATCAGAAGTAAAGACTGTTAAAGTGCCATTAGTTCAGCAGTTTTAATAGATGGGTCCTTTTTTCTGTCAAACGGACATTTTCCTCGCAGGATTGGTTTTCAGCAAAATCAGATTCACAGATATGAGGCAAATGTAGAAAATAGGCCCCCTTTTACAGTATGGTCGGTTTAAAAAAATAATGTTTCTTTTGACTCAGACGTTTTCATTGTATTAAATGAAATGTTCAATTGCTTCTATAAAAGGCATGTAAATTATAAAAAAACCTGTTTTTATCAAAACATTAACTTATTTTATGTTAATCAAAGTGCGCATAAGATGTTTGCATTGCTATTACAGTAAGTGCCTTGCTTTCAAAAAATAAGCTATAACGTGGGCATAGTACAACAGTATTATGCCTCAAAATGACAATGCCATAATGCTTAAACTTTGTATATTATTCCAAGTGGGCTTAAGCAGCCTAGGGCTAAACACATTACTGCTGGAGGCCCTGGAGACTTGTGCTTATCTGACTTGTCCAAATTGACAAGTCTTAATGAAATTGTTACATCATTTTCTCTCTTTTTAATCAACAGTGTTATGAAAAATGTACAGTATGTTTTGTCAAAGTGACGATGAGGTTGTTATGCATGTTTCTTACCTGTATATGCAGTATATTAAAATACCAAAATCATTCCTTTGAAAAGTGCAATACTCTAGAACACACAAATTTAGGAAATAAGTTAATTGTTTAGATTATTTTGAACTTATACATATGCTCCCGGCTATGTTGCTCACTAAAGATTTCTAGTTGAGAAGGTTCTAGCCAGACTAGCTGTAAATTCAAGTTGAATTTCTATAATTTTAAAGTTTTGCTAGTGACTTACTGAAGTTTTGGTAGAAGTAAAATTGATTTCTTCTCGTACAAAACTGAATCTGTGTGCCATGCATTATTTGGAATGGAGCTCAAAAAAGTTTCCGTGATGGAACTTACTACTTTAATGTGGTTTAAACATTTTTATTTTGTAGGTACTGCATAAATGAGGACAGTTGATTGACAGTTCACATTTCAGTGACAAAAAGCTATAATATAAACTATCAAAGCCCAAACTAGAAACACAAATGGGAAATGAAACATTGAAAAATCTCAGCATTTAAGGTGGGAGGGGTTTAAGTGTATACTAAACCATGTATTAAATATCATCTCTCTAAACTTGACTGCTATTGAGTGTAATAACTAGCATAAAACCAGGTTTATTTTTAAGTTTTATTGGGAGGTGTACAAGTTATTAAGTCATATAACAGTAGTCTAATGAGGTTTTACAGTGCTTGAATAAACAGTGGCAAAGCCAAAACCAATTTATACTGAATCAGTTGCAGAAAACTGGAAAAGAGCTGATTGTTGCTAGGATTTGGATTATTTCCTGTGGGTATCCTGTCAGGTTTTTTCCTACTTATCCCTTTTCTTGTTTCTCTTTTTGGTGAGCCATCAATGAACAAGACAAGACTTTAGTCCTGCTCCCACTGAGTTTAATGGCAGAACTCCCACTTCAATGGAAGCAGGACTGTGCTAATGAAACTAACTTGCAAGTAGAGGCCGTTCCAGTTGCACTAAAATAGTCAAGATAAATTGCAAATACCAGCCTTGGTGTGACTTCTTAGGAAACTTCTTGATGTAACATAACATGTTGTTGGGTTTATTTAGTGTACAATGAAAATGATTTGATATGAAAATATTTTGTACATATATATTTTTACTTTGTTTTCTAAATTGCTGATTTGCATTGACTTAAAGTGCCAAGCAAGAAATGTATGTCATGACTGTATGAACAGTTGAAGTATATGTTTTACTGACTTGCACCATTATATGTCTGAGATTCCATGACATTAATTTTTGATACTTTACTGGATTTTGACATAATAATGTGAGTTTATAACTAATAGCAGAGAGCTAATACTTCACTTTTGTTCATACTATTATAAGTTATTCTGGTATTAAATATTTTGTGACAATAAATTGATGGTTTTGACAAACTTTTCTGTTAGAAATATTCACAGTGTTTTTGTCTGTATAAATGACAACAAAATTTGTCATGTAAAAAGGTACTTTTGGGGACTTCTCTGCAGTAAAACTGGAGAAGACAAGCCATTGTATAAACAACTTGTTCATGGTTCTTTTTATAAATGATCAAAGCACAAAGAATAATCTGTAAAACACATCAAGTGGGTTTTAAATTTAAGAAATACTTGGCATAATTTCTTGTTACCATTTCCTTTAATTTATTTTTTTTCTACTGCTGCTTTAGAGTTTTCTGAAAACACAAATTCTAATGAATTATGTGTGTGTCTCTTTTTAAATAACAAAAATCATGATCAGTGCTGAGCCAACAGCTAATGAAGACTCAATAATTATTTATGATATTGGAAAAACAAACATTATTACTATTGCTCTACTTTGTTTCAGCATATGTAACCATTTTAGTAAAATAAATAACTGCAAACAACATCTTGCTGGTTTGAATTAAATATTCATTTATCTGTCCTTGGTAATTTGCATTTCTGGTTTCCTGTTATAGTCAGGGTTTATCTATAACTGGGATACAGGCAAAGAGAAAACAGGAATGCTAGTCTTTTGATTAATACACCTTGTGGTGCACAGTTAAGTGAAGTAGTCTAGCACATCCCTGATGAAGATGGCTGTTCAGCAAGTTTAGGCTAATTGACTGCTAATGACAACATGGCATGATGCTTATAAATCCTCCCCGTTGGAGGACTACAGAGGGAAGCCATAGCCAATCACTGTCCTGAGCCACTGGAGAAGGTATGTGAGCTGGGAAAGACTTAGGTCATTTAGGGTTTTTTATGAGTACAGACTACATTTGTCTAGAGTACCATGTGTGGATACACTCTGGCTGTGAAGCCTTGGTGGAGAAGGAGATGTAATCAGCCTGTCTAGAAATTCGGTGCTCGTAGTAATGAGAGCCCAGTGCAACTGGTCTAATTTTTGTGCCTCAGCAAAGTTCCTCCAGTTGCATGGGAGGGGTGATAACTAAGGTTGTGGTGAGCAATTGGAACTTTCAGTTTTGTGTTGTGCTTATCTGTGATGTATGTATACAGCTGTAATATCTGTGGCCATACAAGTCAGTGTAGATTTGGATATTCAGTTAATATGAGTGTTCCTGAGGGAATACGCACAGCCTGACTTTTGCTGTTGGGAATATGTAGAAACACCCACATCCTAATGATGTTGAGCTTCTTGGCATCTACTTTGTACCCAAGTCTCACATGAAGAAACCAACTCGTTGTGCTCCTACCTACTCTGTCACATAATTTGCAAGAGTTGAGCATTCCCAACCTGTTACAAACCACTGAGAGTAAGGGGAGCTTCAACTTTGCCAGGTTGCTCAGTAGTTAGAATATACATTGGGATCAAGTCTACAGCCTCTTCTTCCAGAATCATAAAACAGCTACAACCACTGAGCTATTGTTACCACTTGGTGGCCTCATGTTCTCAGTTGTTGGCCTAATGTATAGATATGTATGTCAGGTGAAGTAGGTCCACCAAGGAGACTGAGAGTAAGTCCCGGGACAACACACAGGCCATTTTGAGGGCATTTGATAACTTGATGACTTACGTTTTAACTTGGAGGTTGGCAAAGGATAGCAGCTAGATTTTGACACCCACATGCAAGTGCATGAAGTAACCACTGCAGTGTGGGTTAGAAGGAGAAGGTGAGGAAGGGAGATTGATAGCAGCTCTGTACTGTGCAAGGAAGAATGGGCTTAGCTTAGTCTAGGGGAAAGGTTATGTGGGCTCAAACCTGTTTCTTCATTATTGCTTTACTTACCTAGTTTTTCATTAGATTCACTGGCTTTGATGAATGATGTTTTTATCCACCTAACCTATCCATCAGTGGAGATCCACAACACCAAATGTGAGATGCTATTACAGGAACCTGCCTTGATTATAAAAATGGGTGGGATCTCTGATAATCAGCTTCCAGAACTCACCATACTCTTTAATGTGCAGAAAGTCCTTCTTTGTACCACCTACGACATCCCCAGCTGTGGAGGAATGTGAGAATCATTCTGCATTAGTCAAAAGGGGACCTGCACAAAGGAAAGAAGTCTGTGGCTGCCCTGGGGATGCTCTTGACTACCAGGGAACAGCCTTTTCTCTCTTACTCATCACAGTGAGTGAATACTGGCATGAGGAATCAGTCAAGGCTATGGGGTAATGTGCTGGTGAGGCACACCACCCTCTGCCTACAAAGGCACTGCCAAGCAGCGAGGCTGCAGCCACCAAGCTCAGATCCTCCTTCAGGAATCCTTCCAGAGGTTTTCAGGCTCAGTGATGCCTCTTTTTCTTTTGGTCTTGAGAAACTCTGGGCCATATTCCCCTGCATGGCTTCCAGCAGCTGGAGGAGACAGATGTATCCGCTGGTAAGTCCCCTGCGTGGGCTGGAAGATGAGAGTAAGCGTGACTAGTCATCCAACCTCCCAAAACTGCAACAAAGCTCCTACAAATTGAGCTCCACCAGGGCTATACAAGTCTTTTACCCTTGCCTGTTACTTGCAGGAAAATGAAGCCAGGACTCAGCACAGATTGAGGACACCAGACCCTTCAGTACTCCACAAGCAGCTCTGAAGTCCAGTGGGCACCAATTCAGTGGTCACAGTGACAACTTCAAGCCTGACAGACCTCTGCTTTATTCCTGTGTTACTATGAACAATCTGTGAGACTCCTGGAGAATCAGAAAGACCCTCAAAGGGATCCAGGCTCCTAACCTAGCAAATCCAAGCATTTCTGAAGGTCTGAGGGCCAAGGCATTTTTCCACGGCCAAGTGCAAACAGTTGCATGCCTGGTCTGAGCCAGCTGGACAGAAACATGGCCTAGTTCAGAAACTGGGTAACCAAGTTTGGTATCAAGCCTGAGCTGCTACATTAAGGTCCCCAGCAGAGCATGGACTGGACTCAGCATGGTGCAAATATGTCTCTGCAGCTTTTGGACCATTGCTTGTTCCATGCCTTCACTTGTCCACAACGTTGTCCTTAAATTTCTCTGTGCTTTGGTGCAGCACTTCAAAGAGGACAGTAATACTGTTCGGCATGGCTGAGCTGTTGTGTATAGAAGGACACTAATAGTTGGGAGCTGCTCTGGTGAAATACCTACCTAGCCTAACTAGCGAGGACAGGAAAGTGAGATGAAGCATGATGCAAAGGGCTGGATTGCTTGAGAGCACTGCTTTGACACACTGCAAGAAAGGTTACAGGAATCCAGGCTGGATGTGAATTCATGTTGTACAAGCCGGTTTGCCAGAATTTGGGTGTGCTCAATCTCTATTAGCAGCAGAATTGAGACCCAAACCCATGGCTTTCACAGTGCTGGGTTGCTGAGCCGGTGTTTAGTTTTGGGCCCCATCTTGAAACTCCTCTTGTTTAACAAGAAGGGAGGAGGTTGGCTAAAATACAAGTACCTTGTGAAAAATAGAAGGAGAAAAAAAAAAAAAAAGTGGAAAAGAGACATGAATGCCTAATGCAACAGAAAAAAAAAAAAATCCCAAACCTCCTTAATGTTGCTGTTATGTCAGCTTGGGTTATTGGCAGTGGAAGTGGTTATTGGCAGCGGAAGTTAGACCTGGCTTGAGGCTAATATAACTCGCGCACCTGACTTTTTAAAAGGAGCTGAGATCTGGTTTCTTTATGGATGGGCTTTTTTTCATTC